TATAAGCAGGACGTAACCAGAACATAACCAGGACATAACCAGGACATAACCAGGACATAACCAGCAAATAACCAGGACATAACCAGGACATAACCAGGACATAACCAGGACGTAAACAGGACATAACCTGAACATAACCAGGACGTAACCAAGATATAACCAGAACATAGCCAGGACATAACCAGGACATAACCAGAACATAACCAGGACATAACCAGGACATAACCAGGACATAACCAGGACATAACCAGGACATAACCAGGACGTAACCAGGACATAACCAGAACATAGCCAGGACGTAACCAGGACGTAAGCAGGACATTACCAGGATATAACCAGGACGTAACCAGGACATAACAAGAACATAGCCAGGACGTAACCAAGATATAACCAGAACATAGCCAGGACATAACCAGGACATAACCAGAACATAGCCAGGACATAACCAGGACATAACCAGGACATAACCAGGATATAACCAGGACGTAACCAGAACATAACCAGGACGTAACCAGGACGTAACCAGGACGTTACCAGGACATAACCAGGACGTAACCAGGACATAACCAGGACGTCACCAAGATATAACCAGGACATAACCAGGAAATAACCAGGACGTAACCAGAACATAACCAAAACATAACCAGGACATAACCAGAACATAGCCAGGACGTAACCAGAACATAACCAAGACGTAACCAGGACGTAACCAGGACGTAACCAGGACATAACCAGGACGTAACCAGAACATAACCAGGACGTAACCAAGATATAACCAAGACATAACCAGGAAATAACCAGGACATAACCAGAACATAGCCAGGACGTAGCCAGAACATAACCAGGACATAGCCAGGACGTAACCAGGACATAACCAAAATATAGCCAGGACATAACCAGGACAATACTAGGACGTACTAACCAGGACGTAACCAGGACGTAACCAGGACGTAACCAAGATGTAACCAGAGATGGTAGAGATACAATTGCTAGTAGCCGGCTAGTGAACATTAAGTAGGCATTTCTAATTTGATAAAGCCGGCTGCGGCCAGTGACCAGCCAACGACCGCTTAATAACCACTTTTGATTTAACATTAAAGCTAGTAGCCGACTAGTGACTGCTTAGTGACCGCCTAGTAGCCAGTAAATGGTCAATAGCCGGTATGTCTTGGACCCTGGTCATGTCCTGGCTATGTCCTGGTTATGACATCAGGATACTAGCCTATAATCTAATCTATAAGTCTATACTACGATTCTTTGTGTCTGTCTGTACGACCGCCCACTTGCAAATAAATGAGAAATAGGTAATTGCAAAGTAAGCATTGTAACGGTTTTGGAACGCGCCCGTGCACGTGCAAAGATTTGCGAGCGAAATTTTGATTGGTTTTGTGGTAAATACAGTGTGTTCAGTTAGAGATAAACTTTAATTGGCAGTATCTTCAGTTGTGACATGTTTTTTGATGCGATAAAAACTAATATTATCTCCCTTCCTGTTATTACGGGCTCTCTTGTTAACTGTAAATATTTTGATAGCAAAGAATTTGCAAAAAATAATTCAAGATTTTACAATATTATCACAAAAGTGGCAGTGAAATTATATCATTATTTCCCCACTTGTGCACAAAAGTTTTATTTTCTATTCATCGTGCCTCATTCTTTTTTGTTGCAGTTGTGTAATTTATAACTATTAGCATTTAGAGTACTATTAACATGGTAGATTGCGAAACGAAAGAAAAGTTTACTCTTCGCCTATTCGAATTAAACCCTGATTGGGTTTTAAGTTTAGAAGTAAGGGTATAATTATGTTCATGTAATGAAACTTGGTATTCGTTTATTTTATTTCAATTAAAATTTCCTCTGTTCGCTTGATTCGTCTTCCCTACCATTGTTCCTTCGCAAATCGTAAATTTTGTAACCATACAATTATTAGTTATTTAAAAAATCTAGTATGTAAATATTCTTTAATGAAAAACACGATTGTCAGATTCGACACAAATAATTACAAGTACATATGTATCATGCAGGAAAAACTGATATTGTAGAGAGTGATCTGATATATCATATCTTGATTGAATTAAACGGATAAATCGCTGTGCAAGTATAGCCCTTAATCAGCCACAATATTTTAACTGTATGCCGAGGTTTGATCGGCTCATTCAATTTGGTGTCGGAGGGATACAATACACCGTAAATAATCAAGCAGGCATATTGCTAAGCATAGTAATAAACACTCGAATTTAGAAATTCTAAGGTATGGTGGACTACAACCTTACCTTACAATTAGTCAGCTTTTAGCTTCAATTGTAGGAAAAAAATATTTTCTTGTCTTGGACCCCCCCTCCCCTTTCCTACGCTAACATTTTATGTTACTGCCATGCCATTAATCAGGGAAAATAGTGCGTGGAACTTGTCAAATATTCACTGTATTTTTTTACAGGTCAAGAGCCTCCAGTTCCAGGAGGTAAGACTCAAAACGGCTGCGAAGTTTGAAAAAATCGGACTGATACGGGAAACCCCGTATGAAGACCCCCATGTCGACATAGAGTCTATCAAAAGAGCGGCACTGAAGCTCTACAAGAAGGAAAAAACATGCTGCAATTTAGTAAGAACTTTGCAGGGTCCGGTAATATCAACAACGGAGGGTCTCCCTCCGCTCACGATCCGTACCGTCCTGCTTGTTTCGTTTGAGGAGGAAAAGGGCCTGGTCCTTAATCAAACCGTTCATATAAAGATAGAGGACGATGAGACCACCGCGACCGCCGTGGAGGAGACCACTGCTGGACCCTCAGCACCAACAAGTCATGTGGCAATGTCAGCGTTCAAACCCAGAAAGCGCAAGCGAATTGCGACCGTAGACGACTACCTTGAAGCGGGTAAAAATAACCCCAATGCCCGCTTCAAGGGTGGCAAAGACATCATTCTGACCCGGTATGATGTGATGAACCGGAGCTGGGAAACCATCCCTAGAATATCAGGGATGATCGCCACCAACCCTGAAGTGATTGGGAGCGGTGGGTATCGGGATGCCAGAAGAAGTTTGGTCACTCTAAAAGAAGGGGGCCAAATGGATGTTGTTACAAAGACGTACAACGAAAGTGGGATTGCGAGACTTAACCAGAACTCGGACGAAGGAGAACTGCCGGACATCATGGCAGAAATGAAACGACTCATACAGAGTAATGCTGTGGTAGTGGATATTGCCAGGCAGTTCAACGAAAAGCTTGGCAAAGTCTTGGTTGTGTACAACCTGGTCTACCTCGGTATTTACCCTGACACATTAGAACCCTGTTTTGTTGAAGATTTCGTTCAGGGGACCATGTGGAAAGCCATTTCCAACACCGGACGGTTAGAGGCACTGGAGACAAGACCATCGAGGGAGATGATGGAAGTGTGCATGGCCTTTGCACACTTCACGTTGGATCTATCGGGAGGGCGAATGATAGTGCTGGATATTCAGGGGCTGGGGGACAAATTGATTGACCCAGAGATTTGCTCATCGGATGAGCTAGGTGAGGAAACCATGTTTGGGGCAGGCAACATGCGGGGGGATGCCTTAATAGCATTCAGAGAGGATCATAACTGCAATGATCTTTGCAAAGAACTGGGGCTTGTTGCTCTCAAGTAGGCTTAATTTTTAAATTTGTTTTAACCCTGCTTTTATGAAATTTGTATTTATATTTAATAAATGGTTGATGTAATAATGAAGTAAATTGTAATAATGTAGTAAATTGTATTTGAACACATTGCTTTGTTTTAACCTAATATAACTTTTAAACGTTTAAAGATGATCTTATTGATCATTCTTTATTTTGTCAAAATAAATTACAAATCTTTTTACCAGTTTTTACCAGTTTTTTCCTATTTTTGCACATTTATTTGTTTCCTGAACAATAATGCTTTAGCGAGAAATGTTGCGAGAAATTTGTTACTTGCATGTTTGTACTACCTATATTTTAATGAGAATTTTAGGCTTAATTTTTAAATTTTTTAACCCTGCTTTTAAGAAATTTGTATTTATATTTAATAAATGGTTTATGCTATAATCTAAGTTCTAACACATTGTATTTGAACACATTGCTTTGTTTGGACCTAATTACCTTTAAAAGTTTAAAGATTGACATTCTTTATTTTGTTTCACATCCTAAATTACAAATATTACCAGTTTCTACCAGTTTTTCCCTATTTCTGCTCATTTATTTGTTTCCTGAATAAAAAGTACAACAATAATTTTCTGGCGAGAAATTTTGCTCAAAATATGATACTTATGTTAGTGTGTACTACCTATTTTAATGAGAATTTTAATTACGGCTTATCTTTAAAGTTATGTCGGATTGGCAGACAGACAACAATCTCCGCCAATATCTAGAGGATCTAGTTAAAGAAAGCTATACAACGGACGAGATCAGAGGCAGAATTAAAAAGGACTTCGGTCAATATCCAAGTTCATTCAGAACAATTGAGAGGTACGTAATATATGTTAATACTTCTGCTGTGTTCTTAGTTCGTCTCAAAACATTGTTACAGAATGTAATATTCGGGTAGAAAAAATACTTACACCATTTTTATGAAATAAATAATTTGAGAACATTTAGCTATACTACAATGAAATGTTAAACAGTTTCCTTTAATCGCATGTTTAGAATCTTTAGAGTCATCAAAAATCTTTAAGTTGAAACTTTCAGAATGCTACAGTTTTTTGGGATACAAAGAACAAACAACAGTTTGTCTGACCAAGAAGTTACACAAGCTGTCACAGATATTGTAGCAGATACAGGTGGAGCCTGGGGCTACAGGCATGTGAGACAGGAATTAAGGTGAGACGAATATCTAAAAATATTCTGTGACGATTCAATAGTAGTAAGCTTCTAAAGAAGTGTTAGTCCGTTCTCAAAGGTTCCAACTGTGTTACCGATTTCTGTATTAGGTGCAACAGAGGTTTGCTTGTCACACAAGCTAAGGTGATGACGACGTTACGACATGTGGATGGTGCTGGGGTGGAACAGAGAAAACCCAGATTTCTCGGCAAACGACCGAAAATGCCGTTTAGGTCTAATGGCCCTAATTACCTTCTTTCGTGTGACGGCCACGATAAACTTGCGGGCTACCAGAATTCCTTATTTGATCTGAAGATATACGGGTGGGTGTATTTAGCGTGTCATAGGAGCAAAATGAAATTTAGCATAAAACGCATGAGTGATAGTAATGTTCATTCAATTATAAAAGTAATCAATCTCTCTCAGATGTTTAGATACGTTTAGTCGTAAGATCTTGTATTTGTGGATTGGCCAAACGAATAAGGATCCAAAGGTAATTGGTCGTCTCTATTTGGATTACCTAATAGAGAGTAGACTGTTACCACGACGACTACGCCTTGACGCTGGTACAGAAACCGGGCACATGTGCGCTATACAGGTAATAACAACTATTAATTATTATTAATTCAATTTTAAATAAAAATTCCGTCCTGGAAAGGCAGGAAGGATTGACCCCTAATGAGTGTAAACGATGGGCAGCAGATACGGGGTATCTCGATGTACGCGATGCCCACGCGAGCTGTTGAAACAGAGGTCGACATACAGACAATGATGTGCCCAATAATTATATGATATGTGATTTTACAGACCAAAAGCAGCTTACAGGTTTCACTCCCCTCTGTCAGGAACAACAATAAACTCAATTTCGAGAGAATTTTGATGAAGACCCCACCCCCGCCCCCCCCCCCCCCCTCCCCGACCCCCTTTATTTGTCAAATAGATAAAAATGAGCTTATGACGGTAAAATCAGCGGTAAATGATTAATCTTGAACAATACAAGCACTGTATGCAACATGCATTTGACTTAATACATATTTTCTATCTTCACTTTACCCAACTCGGTCACCTAAAAATTCCCGTTCTTCCCTTTTTTTGTCAGTGTTAATTAATTCACCTATTCACGTGGTTGTGCGATAAAATCAAGTGATAGTCTGAAAATTTCTACTGAGACATACAGAACAATAACGTAGGTAAACGTAGCAAAAAATCTAGCTCCTCAAAAGAGTGTCTCGACTCTCAATTGTGGATTTATTCGTGGGGCTGCGGCAATTATAAATAAACTGAATCTTATCAACATTTTTTACAGAAGTTTCTGCTCGAGCGACAAGGCATAGACCAGAGTGAGTCAGAGGGTGTCATTATCGGTCCTTCTGTGGACAACAAAATCGAGCGATTTTGGAGGGACTTGCGTGAGGGGATGGTGGATAATTTTAGACCTGTACTAAGAGCTTTATACGAGGATGGTCTGTACGATCCAACATCACAAGAAGACCGCGAGATCTTATCGGGGATATTCATACCCATAGTTCGACAAGAATTGCAGCGCTTCAAGAACTATCACAATTCTAAACGGTACGTAGTCTCAACAAACAATACTGTCTTAGAACTCAGCACATAAAATATACACTAACAGTATACAGCGATAATATACGATAATGTCATGACCTGGTAGTGCTGAACTTAACTACCACATAATAACTCACGTGACTGGTGCTTGATTGTGTTGATTAATCCAATATAACTTTTTTACTGGCAGCACAGAAAAATGTTTAGCATCAGCACGAACACATACAAACAATATTCATGAAGCAATAGAGTTCAGTTTCAGAAGCTCCTCCCAGCTATTATCTTATCTTAAATCCCCGAATTTATACATCTAATTATCTCGTTATAACTACCACAAGTTGTGCTCTCTCCAGTACTGTTTGGCTATGAGGGCTAATCAACTTCAATCCCAACTCATGTAGTATAATCTACTTCTAGAAACCTTCAATTCTGCTACCTCCATGCATGCCAAGTGCCAACTCTACCCAGCTACCATCAATAATACATTTTTTTAAATATAAATAATTTAATAATAATATTAATAATAATAATAATAATGTACAAGTAATTATTGTTATTTACTGGACTAAGGGGTATACATGTGTTGGAGTTTTTCTCTTATTTTTCTTCTCTTGCTCTGCATGCCCTGATTCTTGTATAAACATGATGTTTGTTATATTGTATATTCTTGTATTGATTGTGGTATTTTGTGGGTCAGATTCAGCAATACCCAATGGGTACTGAATCACTGTTTTATACACTCTGTAACCAGTTCCTGTGTTCCGTCCCTTGCCCTGCAAGCCCTGTTTCTTGATTATACAGCATTTATTTATCGTGTATTACACTGTAGTATGTAATAAACATTTGTAGTAGTGTAGGATTGTTTGAA